GACAGTGGAAGGGAGAGGGGAAACACTGGGAGAAATACTGATGTGAGAGAAACGCGTGGATTGGTTGCCTCCTGCACAAGCCCTGACCAGGCTGGGGAGGAGCCTGCAACCAAGGTACATGCCCTTGGCAGGAGTCGAACCTGGGACCCTTTGGTCCACAGGCTCAGACTCTATCCACTGAGCCAAACCCGTTAGGGCTGAGCTATTCATTTTAACAAGTGGTCTACTCCCTTAGATTTCTACTCTTTAAGCAATGCCACTCTCACAAAAGTGATTATTGTCTTAATTTATGAACATTATGAGAAACAAAAGAAGGCTGAACCTTTTATAAGCTTAAACTCTCTTCAGCTTAAACCTTTTATTTTCCCAGTGAAGACTTGTTCATTGAAAGGATTAAAAACCTCCCCTAGAATCAAATTCTATTGCTAGTGGAAACCTGAGAATTATTATCAAAGAGTAGTGTATGTAGGTAACAGATGACTGACAAATGGGAGAAAGGTTCCAGGGCGATGTCAGGGCAGGTGTGAGACATAGTTTAATTATTGTAGAATGTAAAAGAGATAGGCTGCACCTTCTGTAATGTGTCCTGAAAAAATGCAATATAAAACAGGAGTGGATAGATTGTCAGCCTGTGGACTGAAAGGTCCCAGGTTAGATTTTAGTCAAGGGCATATAGCTTGGTTTAGGGCACATCCCCAGTAAGAGGTGTGCAGGAGGCAGCTGATTGATGTTTCTCTCTCATCGATGTTTCTAACTCTCTATCCCTCTCCATTCCTCTCTGTAAAAAATCAATAAAATATATTTTTTTAAAGATAAATAAAATATATTTTAAAAAACAAGCAAAAAAATAGGAGTGGAAGGCCATCACTTAGGAAGGACAACCCTGGACGTTTTAGAAAATGAATTTAAATACACTGATTTTATAAAGTTATTTGAACCTCCCATAGTCATAGCTAGTTTTACATAGGATGTTTGGAGTAAAAACCTGGAAAGGAACACCAGCCTCCTGAGATAGGTCTAAAAGATTCATGAGCCATCCTTCATGTCCCAGGAAGATGTTGCTATAGCTTTCAAATACCTGTTGTTGTTGTAGTTTCCAATTTAGGTAAATATGACGACTGGTTACATGCAGCTCTCTTTATTATCGCCACCAGTTTTGACTCCTCCTTTGCCTGGAGCAATCAGATGCCTATTTCCTAATATCAGTAAAGTATTACCTAACTTATTTACTCAAACTGAGCTATCTGTTGACTCCCTAGAGCACTACTCATTGGCCAAAATACACTTGTAGGGAGTATTTATTTCTCAGCAGCACAGCATTCCCTGTCATCCAGGCAGTTATATCAGAAGTGGATTTTGCTTCATCAGTTGACGTGCAACGGTGAGTAGTGAAAACGTAGACATAGAGCCTCTTTCAAGTATTACCCTCTCTTCAGCATGCAATGTATTTATTTCTTTCTCCTCAATTTCTACAATGTATTTTTCTTTCTCCTCAGTTTTCTGTTTGTCTTTCTTTTCTTTTGGATTCAGGGCAAGAATAAGGAAAACACATGACATTTTTTTCTTTATACAAGTACTTTCTCCTATATTCACTAAGGAGATACAAACAATATATGACTCACCAGTCCCGAGATCCTATATAAAAATGCATCCCACACTCTGCTCTTTCCTCCTTGTTTCTGTGACAAAATCGTTTGTTCTCTCGACTGTGCAAGACACACTAAATATAATAAGTAGTTAAAAGGAGTGATTTTAGAATGTTTTCGTGGGCTGCCTGACACTCTTTGCTCTGAATCCAGAATTCCTGGAATTGGTGCTTTTTGGTGTGTGTGTCCATGTGATACAGTGTAAATTCTTCCTCGCCACTCTCCAAAGGTTGAGTTATCCAAGGTTTTTGCTGGAAAGTTTCATAATAGCAAAGTCATAACACTCTATCTATCTCTTGAAAGCATTTTCTGATTTACCAGCCAGTCTCTTCAATCCTCACTTCTCAATAGTTGAGGTTGCCTGGTCTTCACCTGAGTCAGGAAAACTCTAGCAACTTGGTAAGGCTTGAACTGGATCTTTTAATTGGAGATAAAATAATACCCCACAAAGCCTTCTCTGGAGGTTGAGATAAACATTCAAAAAACAGTATTTTGGTCCCCCCCCCCCTTTTAAAGTGTGATCCGTAGGATTAAAATGCACACTTTCCAGAAATGCTAATCCTATCAGTCTGTTATAGGGCCTAAAGAATATGAACATTTACCAAAACCCAGGCAATTCTAATACAAGTGATGTTTCTACTTTTACTCAGCAAAATTCTAACCTCTAACTTTCCTCTATTGATCAGATGATTTAGATTGTTTGTAAAAGAATTAATGTTTTTTGACATGCAATTTAGACAAAGCCAGGTATGCAACTTCAAAAAATTCATTTTCTAGGTGTGCACAGAAAATTTTTAAAAGTACACAACTAACATGTGTGTTGGTTCTAAATCTAGTGTTATTAGAACTCCTGCGATTTCCTCATCTATTTAACATTCAAGAATAGATTTTTCGCTCAGCTGGTTTTGCTCAGTGTTTGAGCATCAACCTATGAATCAGGGATCATGGTTTGATTCCGGGTCAGGGAACATGCCTGGATAGTGGGCTCAATTCCCGGAAGGGGGCATGCAGAAGGCAGAACATCATTGATGTTTCTATCTCTCTTTCTCTCTCTCCCTCTTTGAAATCTATCTATCTATCTATCTATCTATCTATCTATCTATCTATCTCTCTCTATCTATCTCTCTATCTATCTATCTATCTATCTATCTATATTGATTTCTGTCAAATTTTTGAACAGATATGTCTTTAACCTATGTGCTTCCTATTTATATTTGGACTTGCTTATTTAGATTTATTTAGGATTTTTGATAAAAATTCAATTGGAAAATGTAATAAAAACCATACAATATCTTGCAACTATATCAGGGTGACATCTCCAAAGTAAAAGCAGTTGGTGTTACACACAGAGCATATTCCACAATTTATTTGAAATAGTAGACAGATCCCAAAGTCTCAGAAGCTTCTTTCAGGGACAACAGATTATTTCTGTTCCAGGGGAAAAAAAAAGTACATTTATTAGAGAATTTCCTATTTCGATAATAATAAAAATATGAAATACTAAGAAACTGTATTAGTAAAGTGATTGAAGGCATGGGCTCTGTGGCCAAATAGTCTGGCATCAAATCCTGCCAGGTCTGCCAGCTGGGCAACCTTGCAGCTCCTTTACCTTATTTTCCTTGGTTCTATGTTTGGAATCATGATAATACCTCCCTCGTGGGGTTTTAGGAAAAGCCTCAGCTGGA